AACATAATTTGCAGTCAGTGCTTAAAGTAGACAGTACCTGATGAGCTGGTAAGACAGTGGTAGAGTAGTATGACACTGAGAACTCTCAATGCACTCTTCTGGAGGACAATCTGGTAGTATGTTTCAAAAATCCTTGAAACTATGGTATCTTTGACCATGCTATTCCATTTTTAGGCACTGTCTATAACAAAAGAGTTAGAAAATTTCACATGAATTTTTACATACATGGCTAGATGAATGGATAAAGAAGAGGTGGTATGTGCGTGTACACACATACACACACACACTGGAATATGACTCAGCTATTAAAAAAAAAGGATGAGATCTTGCTATTTGTGACAACATGGATGGACCTAGAGGATATTGTAAGTGAAGTAAGTTAGGCTAAGAAAGATAAATACCATATGATTTCACCTTTATGTGGAATCTAAAAAGTAAAACAAATGAACAAATAAAAAGCAGAATCAGATCTATAAATACAGAGATCATACTGATGGTTGCCAGGAGGCAGGGTGGGTGGGAGGATGGGAAAAATGGATGAAAGGGAGTGCAACACACAGGCTTCCAGTTATGGAACGAATAAGTCACAGAGACACAGGGAATATAGTCAATGCTAATTGTAATAGTGTTCTATGGAAACAGATGGTAGCTACATTTGTAGTGAGCATGGCATAATGCATCACTATGTTGTACACCTAAAACTAACACTGTGTGTCAATTATACACACAAAAAACTACATGTAAGGCTCTTTTCACTGTCCCATTATGTATAAGAGCAAAAATTGGAAGACAACTTGGAATGTCCAAAAATAGGGCACAGATAAATTATGATTCATCTAAATAATGGATGTTTAACTTATGTGCATGTGACAATGAGGAAATGTCCTTAATTTTGAGGCGCCTGGGTGGCTCAGTCGTTTGGGCATCTGACCCTTGGTCTCAGCTCATTTACAGGTCTTGATCTCAGGGTTGTAAGTTCAAGCCCCCACTTAAAAAAATATATATGGATCATATAAATAATGGATACTTATGTGCCTGTGACAATGAGAAAATGTTCTTAATTTAGGTAATAAAAACTATATGGTCTTAATTTTGAACATCAAAAGTTGTACATACAAGTAGGTATAGGTATCTAGATTCAGATATAAAAACAAAACAAAGCTTGAAAAGACTATTCACAATGATGATTAATAACAATGATCTTTATTATGTAGGGTTATAGATTTTTTTTAACTGTACTCACTGAATTTTCTAGACTTTAACATATTATATCTATAATCAGAAAAGTTTTAGAAAAAAATTACTTTCAAGTTTCAGGTTTGATGGAATGGATAGTGGAATCTAAGTCCTAATGCTTAAAGTTTTAAAGAGTACTGTTTTGGAGGTAATGAAAAAAATCCCAACTCTTCACCATTTTATTGATTTAGATCACATATCCCATTGTTAAGTATCTATCTAGGCTAAAGAATTCTCATTTTTTCAATCCATCCTCACAAAGCAGCCCTCCTCTGTGCTGGATTTACTTGACCTTTCTCAGATTAAATCAAACTGACACCAGAAGGCTGAGGTAAGAAACCTAAAACAAGTGGCTCAGTCGTTAGGCGTCTGCCTTCAGCTCGGGTCATGGTCCCGGGGTCCTGGGATCGAGCCCTGCATTGGGCTCCCTGCTCGGCAGGAAGCCTGCTTCTCCCTCTCTCACTCCCCCTGCTTATGTCCCCTCTCTCGCTGTCTCTCTCTCTCTCTCTCTGTTAAATAAATAAAATCTTAAGAATGAATAAATAGGGCACCTGGGTGGCTCAGTTGGTTAAGCGACTGCCTTCGGCTCAGGTCATGATCCTGGAGTCCTGGGATCGAGACCCACATCGGGCTCCCTGCTCAGCAGGGAGTCTGCTTCTCCCTCTGACCCTCCCCCCTCTCATGCTCTATCTCATTCTCTCTCTCAAATAAATAAATTAAAAAAAATTTTTTTTAATGAATAAATAAATAAAATTAAAAATAAAAAAGAAACCTAAAACAAATATTCCTACATTTGGCATTCCACTCTAGTTGTTCATAAAGTCATAGATGAACTCATTGTAGCATCCATATATAGTAACAAATATGATGAGGTTTATCTCCCTTTACTAATGGATCTAGTCCTAAAAAGGAACAGTTAACCACATTTCTGTCTCTCTGGATAACTAAATGATCCCAAACTACAAGTGAATTCTACATAGAAGTCTAACATTCAGATAGTAGTAAAATAAAGAATAGATAATAGTAAATATAATAGATAATAAGATATAATAGATTTTAAAGCAATCTTCTCAGTGCTACCATGCACATATATGATTACTGGACAGAAAGGCAAAGTAACAAAAACTGGAGATGAAAGCGTATCTCCATTTTATAATAAAAATATAGTAAGTTTATAAGGCAGTTTATAATTTACAGAGTGGCTTCCCATACATTAGTTCATTTTGCTCTCATGGTGAAAATATTATCATGCCATTTTATAGGCGAAAAACCAGACTTCATTAAAGTATTCAGTAATTTCTAATTTTATCCTTTCAAATGCCACCAGTGTTATTTTTCTGATTCCTTCAAAAATGATAAGTTGAGGGGTCAAAGGTTACAAACATGCACAAAGTCTGCAACTGAAAATCAACTCATGGAAAATCAAAGGCTTGGTAAAAGGGCCCAGACTGGGTAATTATCAACAACTCCTTTGTGACTGTACTTACAGCATAGACCTACAATAAAAAACATTCTGGAATTACCACAGGAAGAACATTAAGACATTAAGAAATGGTTATGTTTTCACCATCAGAAGAAGTCTAAACCTCCATAGATGAGGGAACCCCCATTAGACTATTCAGCCGATTTTTCAGTACAAATTTTGCAGGCCTGATGGAAGCAGCATGATATATTCAAAGTGCTAAGAGAAAAAACAAACAAAAAACCAAAAACCAAAACCTTCCACGAAGAATACTGTATTCAGCAAAATTATCATTCAGAACTGAAGAAGAGATAAAGAGTTTGTCAACCAAGCAAAAGCTGAAATTCATTCCTACTAAACTAGCCTTATAAGAAATGTTAAAGGGACTTCTTTAAGCTGAAAAGAGTCCTAATTATAACAGAACACATATGAAAGAGTAAGTCTCACTACAAAAATAAATATATAGTAAAGATAGTGGATTGCTTAAATTAACTATAATTACAATAATTAAAGGATACACAAGATAAAAAGATGTAAAATGTGACATCAAAAACATTAAAACATAGGAGAGGAGGTAAGGGGGGGCAAAACATGAGGGGGGTTGAGCTTTAGAATGGGATCAAACTTAAGTTATCATCAACTTAAAACAGACTGTTATAGATATATTATATGTAAGCCTCATAGTGACCACACACACACAAAAAAAACAAAGATAAAGAGAAAGGAATATAAGCATACCACTAAAGAAAATCATCAAACCACAAAGGAAGAGAGCAAGAGAAGAAAGGTAGAGAGAGAAACTATAAGAACAGCTAGAAAACAATTAGCAAAATGGCAATAAGCACACAAACCTATCAATAAATACTTTAAATGTAAATGGACTAAACTCTCCAATCAAAAGACAGAATGGCTGAATGGATTAAAAAAACAAGACCCTACAAGTTGCCTACAAGAGATACACTTTATATATGAGAAGACACACAGATTGTAAGGGAAGGATGGAAAAAGATATTCCGTGCAAACGGAAATGAAAAGAAAGCTGGGATAGCTACACTTACATCAGACAAAATAGACTTTTTTTTAAATGTTATGTTAATCACCCTACAGTACATCATTAGTTTTTGATGTAGTGTTCCATGATTCATTGTTTGCGTATAACACCCAGTGCTCCATGCAATATGTGTCCTCCTTAATACCCATCACCAGGCTAACCCATCCCCCGACCCCCGTCCTCTCTGAAATCCTGTTTGTTTCCCGGAGTGGTCCATGATTCATGACAAAGGAGCCAAGGACATATAATGCGGAAAGAACAGTTTCTTCAATAAATGGTCTTGGAAAAATTGGATAGCCACATGCAAAAGAACAAAACTGGGTCACTCTCTTAGACCATACATAAAAATTAACTCAAAATAGATTAAAGACTTTAACAAAAGGCCTGAAACTGTAAAACTCCTAAAAGAAAACATAGGCAAAGGTCTAATGGTGATGATTTTTTGAACCAATAGCCAAAGCAACAAAAGCAAAAATAAACAAGTGAGACTACATCAAATTAAAAAGCTTCTGTTCAACAAAGGAAATCATCAACAAAATAAAAAGGCAACCTGTACACAAAAATTAACTCAAAATAGATTAAAGACTTAACAAAAGGCCTGAAACTGTAAAACTCCTAAAAGAAAACATAGGCAAAGGTCTAATGGTGATGATTTTTTGAACCAATAGCCAAAGCAACAAAAGCAAAAATAAACAAGTGAGACTACATCAAACTAAAAAGCTTCTGCGCAACAAAGGAAATCATCAACAAAATGAAAAGGCAACCTGAGTTGAAGAAACTAACCGCAAATCATATATCTGATTAGGAGTTAATATCTAAAAAATATATGAAGAACTCCTACAACTCAGTAACAAAAAAACAAATAATCCAATTTAAAAATGGGCAAAAGATCAGAGTGGACATTTTTCTAAGATATCTAGATAGCCACAGGTACATGAAAAGATGCTCACCATCATTTTTCTTTTAAAGATTTTATTTATTTGACAGAGAGCACACATGTGCGCATAAGCAGGAAGAGCAGTAGGCAGAGGGAGAAGCAAGCTCCCAACTGAGCAAGAACCCCAACGTGGGACTCAATCCCAGGACCCTGGAATCATGACCTGAGCTGAAGGCAGCCACTTAACCGACTGAGTCACCCAGGGACCCTGATGTTCACCATCATTAATTATCAGGGAAATGCAAATCAAAAACACAATGAGATATCACCTACCATCTGTCAAAATGGCTACCATCAAAGACAAGAAGGGGTACCTGGCTGGCTCAGTTGGTGGAGCATGTGACTCTTGATCTCAGGGTTGTGAGTTTGAGCCCCACGTTGGGTGTAGAGATTTCTTAAATCAATCAGTCTTAAAAAAAAAAAAAAAGACAACAAATGACAAATGTTGGAAAAGATGTGGAGAAAAGGGAACTCTTGTGAACTGCTGGTGGGAATGTAAATTGGTGCAACCACTACGGAAAACAGTATGGAGTTTCCTCAAAAAATTAAAAATGAAACTACCATATGATCCAGTAATTCTGCATCTGAGTATTTATCCAAATGAAAACACTAACTTGAAAAGATATATGTACTCCCATGTTCACTGTAGCCTTATTTACAATAGCCAAGATATGGAAAGAACGTATGACCATTGATGGATGGATGAATAAAGAAATACACACACACACACACACACACAATCTCCCCTGGTTTCTTGGATGTTGTATTTGCAAACCTCCATTCTCATCACTAGTCATTCATTGTCAGTTCACTCATGGTACTCTGTTGGGCATTATACCAAATTATTTAGATGTACTTGGTCTTCTAGAATCTGAGAAATATAATCCACAGAAAATAGTCACAAAATAACCAGGCCTTCTGGATTTGCATTGTTCTTACCATCTACCATCTGTTTTGGCATACATCATAGGAAAGACACAGTGTATGGTGGTGGGTGAGGCAGAGCTATCAGAATTGTATGTTTGGAGGAGGTGAGGCTGTTCAGATATAATCCAAAAAGATAAAGACTGTGCTATTCATTAGGAGAGACATCCTAAGAGTCTCCCTCATCTCCCACTGGCATTGAAAGAGACTACCCACTACACCCTCAAGAGTGAATATAAGTGAGCACTGCTTCATGAGTTCCAGGAAGATACTGTGGAAGAGATTAAGAACACCAGATCTCCATTCTCTGGGATAATCTCAGTCTTCCTTCTTCAATGTAGCTTATAGATTCATGGCCAAGATAGCAAAAATAAACACTGCAGGTGAATGGAAAAAATGTTTGCAAGAGAACACAACAGTAGCTGGATGTCTTTGTTTTACATAACAAATTAAAAGTTAATACAAGTAAATGAGACCAGCTTTCTACAGAGGCTGAGGGACAGGCACCTGCATGGTAGATGGAATCACTTCCTGTCTGTTGACCACATGCACCACACATCCCATAAACCTCTTCTAGTCCATTATCTGAAATGTATACCATTGAAGAGTCACACCTTTGAATCTGCTATAAAACACAAATTCCTTTCTGAGCAGCAACATATCAGCTAATAACTTCATTAATCAGACATTAAGAAGCTAGTTTACCTAGAAAGGACCTATGGGAATGATGGGAAAAGCAGAATTGTTCATGTATCAATATTTATTGAGAGTCTACTACTGAACACCATAGTACCAAGTGGGAATACAGTGATGAATTAATTCACTCATTCAACTCACTAATTCCCTCAGTCATTCATTCACTCATTTAACAGATATATCAGGAATTGGGATATAAATTCTGCCCTAAGAGAGACTATAATCCAGTAAAAGAAATATTATTTACACCTACAAAGCAAGAATAAATACCATTTACTTAAGAAACAAGTGGCTATGGAAGATAGTCGATTGGAGAGATTAGTATTAGATGAGGGAATCAAATATGGCTTCATGAAGAAAGCATTTAACCTGAATGTTGAAGAATGGCTAGCATATGAATATGCTAAGTGGGCAAAATGGCTGCGGAAATGTCATAAAACTGCTAATCTACTGCTGAAAGGGGCCTGCCAGCAGGGGGCAGCAGAATTCAACTAAGTGCCAGATGCTAAGGAGACTGGAAGTAGGAAAAGTGAATGAATGATGAGGTGTACAGAAAGGAAGGAGGAAATTCCAGAGGCAAATAGTATGTCTTGCCTTACCAATGTGCCTGGGGCCAGGCCTGCATTTATTTATGTCTCAGGCCTTATACTTCTGAAAGTATAATTCTGTAGATCTTGGAGATTCTCTAGCCAAAGGCCTCATTTTACTGAAAACGGAGGGGCTTGATAAATTATCCAAGGCCACAGAGCTAGTAAGTGGCTGATCTGAGACTGTAACTGAGTTGCCCTGAAATGAATGTAATGCTCTTTCGATTTGTACCAAGGCTTATCAACTTGGCTAGAAGCATCTTTCTTTCATGTGTATATGTCTACACACTAGAGTGGATGGACAAAGAGAATGACTGACTCTGAGGTCTCAGGAGAGACATGGGTTATGAGGGTTAGGAAACATAGACTTGCACATTTACACATCCTGAGAGAAGTTTCCTTTGAAAATAGGATTGAGCTAGAAACTTAAGCTACAATATTTGTCATCCATGCAATAGCTGGTCTATGAACCAGCTTCTAAGACCTTCTTAAGAGCTACCAAGGCACCTGCTTCCCACATCAATTCCCCTCTTATTACTATTGTTATAAATGAAAATGATGGGTTTACAGATGACCAAGCATTGACTTCTCAGCAGGATAAAATGGAGCCAGCCAAAAAGAAGTCACAGCCATCCACCAATTGAGTTTTCAATGAATTGAAAGCATCTCTATTCCTAGCCAGATTTTCAATTCAGAAAGACATGCTGTCTTAACAGTAAATATGAATTGTCGGGAGAGACATAAAAATGTTTTAAAGCAAGTTGCACTGGGCCTTCTTATTTATCTGTTCTGGGAAACGTCTGCCTTCATCAAAATTAAGTTTCCTCCACCCTGTAAGTCTTATTAATTTTCCTAATTCCAGACCACTCAGAGCAATGTTAAACAGGTACGATGTTAACAAATCACAGAATTAAGGAATGTTGGCAAGTATCTAAGACATATGATCTGTTTTTTAAATAAGATGCAACTAGCCCAGAGAAATAAAGTGACTTGGCCAAGATCATACACACGATAAAGATGAAAAACCAGTCCCAGAAGTAGATCGGCCTCCACACTTTTCTTACCCAACTAGGGCCTGAGGAACAAGCTTTCTTGCAGAGTGCAGGATGCTCAAGGTTCAGGCTTTAATCAGAGACGGTCTCAGCTTCCTACCTCAAGTGGGACTTCATTCTAACCTTTCCAATTTTTACCTACAAACATATTATGCTTTTCCTCCCAAGTCATGGATATGACAGAGTAACTTTTCCAGTTATGTCTAAATGAACTTTTTAAGATATTTACACAGCTTTGTGCCATTTTCTTCTATGTAATTTCCCTTTTCACTTTTAATTATCTGATCATTTTATGAGTGAATGTATTATAAGTACAGCTTCAATGACTACTCTAGAAGTAGAAACTATGGACATGTTCTACAATAGAGAATGGTAGAGTATGATCGGTTGATAAAAAATATTGCTACTAACATTATCTTAATAATTAATATTATCAATACTATACTGTGAATTAGGAAAGCTCTTAAAGATTTACTGTTAAGTGAAAAAAATCCAAGTTACAATACTGAATATAATTTGATTATACTTCATAAAACCATGCCTTTAAAAAAAAGTTAAAAATTAATTAAAATAATGGCCATTGTGTTATAGTTTGGAATTATGAGCAAATACTATTTTAAAAACTTCTAAACAGTGAACTATTTAATATATTGATACATTTTAAATTATACAACTAAAGAAATTATATATTTAAAATTTTATAGAAGAAAAACTTTTATATATCACTTGGGTAAGAGGCCAGAGGATATTATCAGCCACAGTTCCTAGACCTTGGAGTTCAAGAAATAATGGAGAGGCACCTGGGTGGCTCAGTCGGTTAAGCGTTAAGTGTCTGCCTTCAGTTCAGGTCATGATCCCAGGGTCCTGGGATTGAGCCCCGCATCGGGCTCCCTGCTCAACAGGGAGTCTGCTTCTCCCTCTCCCTCCGCCCCTCCCCCTGCTCTTGCTCTTTCATGCTCTCAAATAAAATATTTAAAAAAAGGTAATGGAGAGCTTTCACAGCACTCTACGTATGCCAACTAATCAATAAGGAAGAATGTTCTAGAAACTTGACTTTTTCATGGCTGATTCCCTGTAAATCTGGATCTGAAATGAAGTTGATTTGTGTCACTTCATTTTTATATATTATATATATTTATAAATTTAAGGCTGAAATGATGGACTGTATCCTCCTAGTTATCCTTACCTACCATTTAACAGTTTCAGAAAAGAGTACCCGAGTTTAATATCAGAGGAAAAAGAGGCAAGTTTCTTCCCAAGACATGCCTACATTTTAAAGCTCTAAATACTGCTGATATCACCATGCTTTAGAGATTCAGTATTTTATTAGAGGCAGGATAATTGAAACTTAGCAAGAAAGGTGCCAAAAAATGAGTTTTCAGAGACACTCAAAACAAACATGTTCTTATGCCACCATGACATTATTTTTTATTAAGTTTATTATTTTAATTCTAGTATAGTTAACTTAGTATTATATTACTTTCAGGTGTACAATATAGTGATTCAACAATTCTATACATTTCTCAGTGCTCATTACGGTAAGTGTACTCCTTAATTCCCATCACCTATTTAACCCATCCCCCCACCGCCCTCCTCTCTGGTAACCAGTAGTTTGTTCTCTGTAGTTAAGTCTGTTTCTTGGTTTGCCTTTTTCCCTTTGTCCATTTGTTTGGTTTCTTAAATTCCACATGAGTGAAATCATATGGTATTTGTCTTTCTCTGACATATTTCACTTAGCATTATACTCTCTAGCTCTATCCATGTCAGTGTAAATGGCAAGATTTCATTCTTTCTATGGCTGAATAATATTCCACTATATATATACATACAGACACATAATTTATACACACATATATACATATGTAAATATATACACACACCCTTATCTTCTTTATCCATTCATCTATCAATGGACACTTGGGCTGCTTCCATAGTTTGGCTATTGTAAATAATTCTACAATAAACATAGGGGTGCATGTATCCCTTTGAATTAGTGCTTTTGTATCTTGGGGGTAAATACGCAGTAGTATGATTGTTGGATCATAAGGTAGTTCTATTTTCAACTTTTTGAGGAACCTCCATACTGTCTTCCACAGTGGCTGCACCAGTTTGCATTCCCACCACCACATCCTAACCAACACCTGCTGTCTGTGTTGTTGATTTTAGCCATTCTGACAGTTGTAAGGCAATACCTCACTGTGGTTTCAATTTCCATTTCCCTGATGAGTGATAACTGAGCATCTTTTCATGTGTCTGTTTGCCACCTGGATGTCTTCTGCCTTAAAAAAAAAAAAAAAAAAAATTAAGTAATCTCTACACCCAACATGGGGCTTGAACTCATGACCCCATGATCAAGAGTCACATGCTCCTCCGACTGAGCCAGCCAGGTGCCCCAGTGTGCCCATTTTTTAATTGGATTATTTGGTTTGGGGTTGTTTAGTTTTATAAATTCTTTATATATTTTGGATACTAACCCTTTATTGAACAAGTCATTTGCAAATATCTTTTCCCATTCCATAGGTTGCCTTTTACTTTTGCTGTTTCCTTTGCTGTGCAGAAGCTTTTTATTTTGATGTAGTCACAGTTTATTTTTGCTTTTGTTTCCCACACCTCCGGAGACATACCTAGAAAAATATTGCTGTAGCCAAAGTCAGAGAAATTACTGCCTGTGCTCTCTTCTAGGACTTTTATGGTTTCAGGTCCCACAGGAAGAATTTAATCCATTTTGAGGTTCTGTGTGCATGCGTATGGTATAATAAAGTGATCCAGTTTCATTCTGTTGCATATAGCTGACCTGTTTTCCCAACAACATTTGTTGAAGAGATTGTCTTACCATTGGATACTCTTTCCTGCTTTGTCAAAGATTAGTTGAACATATAACTGTGGCTTTATTTCTGGGTTTTCTATTCTGTTCCATTGATCTATGTGTCTATTTTTGGGCCAGTACTATACTGCTTTATTACAGCTTTATAATATAACTTGAAGTCCAGAATTGTGATCCTCCAGTTTTGTTCTTCGTTTTGTTTTTGTTTTTTTGCTGTATATATCAGTAGTTTATTATTAATTTTTATTAACATATAATGTATTATTTGTTTCAGGAGTACAGGTCTGTGATCCATCAGTCTTACATAATACAGAGCTAACTGCAACACATAAACTCCCCAATGTCCATCACCCAGCCACACCATCCCTCCCACCCCCCTCCACTCCAACAACCCTCAGTTTGTTTCCTGACATTAAGAGTCTCATGGTTTGTCTCCCTCTCTGGTTTTGTCTCCCTCTCTGGTTTTGTCTTGTTTCATTTTTTCCTTGGGTTTTGAGTTTGATAAGTTCTTTATAGATTTTGGTTACTAGTCCCTTATCTGATATGTCATTTGCAAGTATCTTCTCCATTCTATCTTTTGGTTTTGTTGACTGTTTCCTTTGCTATGCAAAAGGTTTTTACCTTGATGAAGTCCCAATAGTTCATTTCTGTGGTGGTCTCCCTTCCCTTTGGAGATGTGTGCAGCAAGAAGTTGCTGCGGCCAAGATCACAAAGGTTGCTGCCTATGTTTTCCTCTAGGATTTTGATGGATTCCTGTCTCACATTTAGGTCCTTCATCCATTTTGAGTCTATTTTTGTGTATGGTGCAAGGAAATGGTCCACTTTCATCCTTCTGCATGTGGCTGTCCAGTTTTCCCAACACCATCTGTTGAAGAGACTCTTTTTTCCATTGGATATCTTTGCCAAAGATTAGTTGACCATAGAGTTGAGGGTCCATTTCTGGGGTCTCTATTCTGTTCCATTGATCTATGTGTCCGTTTTTGTGCCAGTACCATACTGTCTTGATGATGACAGTTTTGTAGTAGAGCTTAAAGTCTGGGACTGTGATGCCCCCAGCTTTGGTTTTCTTTTTCAACATTCCTGTGGCTATTCAAGGTCTTTTCTGGTTCTATACAAATTTTAGGATTATTTGTTCCAGCTCTGTGAAAAAAGTGGATGGTATTTTGATAGGGATTGCACTGAATGTATAGATTGCTCTAGGCATAGACATTTTAACAATATTTGTTCTCCCAATCCATGAGCATGGAACGTTTTTCCATTTCTTTGTGTCTTCCTCAATATCTTTCATGAGTATTCTATAGTTTTCTGAGTACAGATCCTTTGCCTCTTTGGTTAGATTTACTTGTAGGTATCTTATGGTTTTGGGTGCAACTGTAAATGAGATTGACTCCCTAATTTCTCTTTCTTCTGTCTTGTTGGTGTATAGAAATGCCACTGATTTCTGTGCATTCATTTTATATCCTGCCACATTGCTAAATTCCTGTATGAGTTCTAGCAATTTTGGGGTGGAGTAAAGATCAGAGCAGAAATCTATGAAATAGAATCCAAAAGAAAAGTAGAACAGATCAATGAAACTAGGAGTTGGTTCTCTGAAAGAATTAATAAGATCGATAATGCCCTGGCCAGACTTATCAAAGAAAAGAGAAAGGATGCAAATAAATAAAATCATAAATGAAAGAGGAGAGATCAAAACCAACACCAAAGAAATACAAACAATTATAAGAACATATTATGAGCAACTATATTCTCATGATTAGACAATCTGGAAGAAATGGCTGCATTCCTAGAGACATATAAACTACCAAAACTGAACTAAGAAGACATAGAAAACCTGAACAGACCCATAACCAGCAAGGAAATGGAAGCAGTAATCAAAAATCTCCCAAAAAACAAGAGCCCAGGGCCAGACGGCTTCCCAAGAGAATTCTACCAAACATTTAAAGAACTACTACCCATTCCTCTGAAACTGTTCCAAAAAATATAAATGGAAGGGGAACTTCCAAACTTGTTCTATGAGGCCAGCATTACCTTGATTTCAAAACCAAAGACCCCACCAAAAAGGAGAATTACAGACCTATATCCCTGATGAATACGGATGCAAAAACTCTCATCAAAATATTAGCCAATAGGACCCAACAGTACATTAAAAGGATTATTCACCACGGAAAAGTGGGATTTATTCCTGGGCTGCCAGGGTGGTTCAACATCCTCAAAATCAATCAGTGTGATACACTACATAAATAAAAGAAAGGACAAGAACCATACGATCCTCTCAATTGATGCAGAAAAAGTATTTAACAAAGTACAGCATCCTTGGAGCGCCCAGGTGGCTCAGTCATTAAGCGTCTGCCTTTGGCTCGGATCATGATCCCAGAGTCCTGGGATGGAGCCCCACCTCGAGTTTCCTGCTCAGTGGGAAGCCTGCTTCTCCCTCTCCCACTCCCCCTGCTTGTGTCCCCTCTCTTGCTGTGTCTCTCTCTGTCAAATAAATAAAATTAAAAAAAAAAAAAGTACAGCATCCTTTCCTGATTAAAACTCTTCACAGTGTAGGGATAGAGGGAGCATACCTCAATATCATAAAAGCTATATATAAAAGACCACAGTGAATATCATTTTCAATGGGGAAAAACTGAGAGCTTTTCCCCCAAGGTCAGGAACATGGCAGGGATGTCCACTACCACCAATGCTGTTAAACAGAGTACGAGAAGTCCTAGCCTCAGAAATCAGACAATAAAAAGAAATAAAATGCCTCCAAGGGGGCAGAGCAAGATGGCAGAGGAATAGGAGAACTGGATTTCCTCTGGTCTCAGGAATTCAGTTGGATAGGGATCAAACCATTCTGAACACCTACAAATTCAACAGGAGATCGAAGAAAAGAATAGCAACAACTCTCTGAACAGAAAAGCGACCACTTTCTGGAAGGTAGGACGTGCGGAGAAGTGAATCCGAGGTGATATTTGGGAGGATAGACAGCGGGGGAGGTGCCTCCGTCGTCCGCTTCTGGCAAGTGATAGAGCCGCGGAGCACAAAGTCGGAACTTTTAGAAGTCTGCTCCACTGAGGGACATTGCTACAGTGGCTAAGCTGGGGATGAAACCCTCGCGGGACAGTGTGGTCTCAGGACCTCGGGGTCACAGAAAGACGGGGGGCGCCTGAGTGCGGCAGAGCTCCCAGGTATCAGAGCAGGGAAGCCGGCTGCAGAGACCAAGCCGAGGCACGGGCTCTCAGCTCAGGGTTGCCATAAACCATGATCCGCGGCATGGTCGGGCCACTGCTCCTCCAGCAGGGACCCAACAAGTGGCAAATCCGGGGACACTCCCCTTCCTCCCCCGGGAGGAGCGGCATGGGAACGCACCGCAGGGATCTGCTGGGTTTGGAGACTCCACACCGAGTCGGGTGCCAGAGATAGAAACGTTCAGTCACCGGCCGGGTGAGCACAGAGTACAGCTGGAGACCGGGGAGATGGGAGTGACTGACTACTTTTCTCTGGGGACTCACTGAGGAGCGGGGCCCCAAGTTCTCGGCTACTCCGGGCCGGAGATTGGGAGGCCGCCATTTCACTCTCGGCCTCCAAAGCTGTACGGAAAGCGTGCAGGGAACAAAAGCTCCCGAGAGCAAACCTGAGCAGATTACTTAGCCTGGACCGGGCAAGGGCGGGGCAATTCCACCTCCGGCAAAGACATTTGGGAACCATGGCAACAGGCCTCTCCCCCAGAAGATCAGCGAGAACAGCCAGCCAAGACCAAGTTTACCCATCAATGAGAACGACAGAACTCCAACGCTAGGGGAATACTGCACATAGAATCCATGGCTTTTTTTTACCATGATTCTTTAGTCTTTCAAAGTTAAATATTTTTTAACTTTTTTTTTTGAATTTCTCTTTTCCCCTTTTTCAACCAACATCTTATCAATCCCTTTTGTAAAAAACATTTTTATTTTTCATTTTTAGAGTCATATTCTATCCCTTCATAGTAGTTACCCGAATTTTTGGCATATATATATAAGTTGTTCTCTCTTTAAAATTTTGAGATAGTTTCTTCTAACAGATCAAAATATACCCTAAATCTCTAGTGTATGTTTTTTTTCTACTCCCCTGCCTGACCACATTCTCTCCTTTTTTTCTTTTCTTTTTTAAATCCTCTTCTTTCTTTTTTCAAACAACTTATCAATTCCTTTCATAAAATTTTTTATAATTTTCATCTTTACAATCATATTCCATCCCTTCATCATATCAACCCTTATTTTTGTACATATATGTTTTTCTTTCTTTAAAATTTTGGGAGGCACTTTCTTCTAACAGACCAAAATACACCCAAAATCTAGTGTGTGGCACTGATCTATGCACCAGCCTGATCATATTTGATCATATTGTTTTTTGTTTTGTTTTGTTCTGTTTTTGTTTGTTTTGATCTTTATCTTTTTTTTTCTTTTTCCTTTTTCTCTCTTTCCCTTTCTG